ATTTTTTTGTCTTGTGACAAAAAAATAACCCAAATTATTGCTGCTAAATTTTCACAGTGTAGTTTTACAAATAACACAATGGCCATTATGACTGAACACTAATTATATTTTCATCAGACCACATGGTATGTCTCCAAAAATGAAGGTTTCTGTCCCTGTGTGTGTTTGCAAACTGCAATCTAACTTGTTGATGTTTCTTTTGGTGAAATGACTTCCTCCTTGCTGAGTGGTCTTTCAGTCCATGTGGATACAGACAGGTTTTACAGTGGATATTGACACTATTTTCCCATCACGTCAAACCAGAAAATATTGTGCTCCAGGTGTCTCCTTAAAATACATCCTGGGTGTGTTGTGGATTAAGTCAAATGTCTCAGTTAACCTATCACAGGCTTCTCAAGCCATGACATCATTATCTAATTCAAATTCAAAAATACTTTATAGTGCCTCAACATTTAGATAGGTAGTTGTCATTCTGAATGCTAAATAAGTACGTCTAACATATTTTTTCTCATCATTGTGACTGTCTGCAACTAGAAATATGTTTTATGGTTTAACTTGTTTTACTTTTGTGTAACCAGACTGTTGTGTGTTGCATTTCTACTCAGGTCCCTCTTGAAAATGAGATCTATATTTCAATGGAGTTTTACCTGGCTTAAAAAAGGAAGGAGAATTTTGGTTATTCTAATTGAAGTTTGGTCTAATTTATCCTCAGACAGTGAGAAAAATGTGTCGTTTTATTCGTTATATATAAAATTCTGGTTTTCAAGTATATTTCATATGACTTAAGATTTGATTCCTGAATACATTAACTTCTTAATAATATTTTATTTATTAAGAAATTATAGTAATTCAACTGTGAAGTTGAGTCCAGTCCCTGGAGTTGTGATCCAGGCCAGCAGGTCTTGAAACTGGCGCGCGGAGCATTATGGGATACTTGGTTAACTGGTGAAGTCAACATGGCTGCGGCTCTCAGGCAAAGGATAGAACCTGCAGGAAGAAGGCCGTGAATGAAGCCCGGTACACACACAGCTCCACCGCCTCTATAGTGGGCTTAAAACCGCCGCGTTCGCCGATTTCTACCCCGCCTGCGGAGGGCCGAGACACTCCCAAACAGCAGCAGATAACAAACAAGTGAGGATAAAGTCTCGTATGAATTCCGACGAGAAGGAGGACTGTGAGTGTGCGACACCACAGGCCGAGACCAGCCCCGCCAGAGGAGCTGTTAGGTGAGGAAACCGAGAGGAGGGAGCCGGGGCTGCCGGGGAGGAGCAAACCGATCAATAGCTAGCCTGCTAGCTAGATAGCTGTTGCTGCTAGTTGCTGTGTGGCTGCAGACCCTCTGCAGCTGCTGTTCTCCCTCAGGTTTGGTTGTTTAATAAGGATTATGTTCTGTACAGACATTGGCGAGAGGAATTCTGCACACAATGCAGCTGGAGCTAGGAAGCCTGATAGATTTGGTATGTTAACCTGCTGGGTCAGCGTCAGAGAGAATCTGTCCGTGACATTTGTCTGACTGACTTCTCTGACAATGGCTGCGAGATTTTCTACAACACAGCAGTTACCACTTATTAATCGCGGCACTACGGTGATATATCAGCAGAAATGTGCTACTGTACCCATAATTCAGTAGACGACAAGACCAACTCTGGTTCCTCTTTTTCTTAGTAGGTTTACATTGTGGTTCTGCATCAGAACAGCTCAGATGAGTCAGTCAGTCTTGGCTTTAAATCTTTGTTTTCTCCTTTTAATTAGAGAACAAGAGGAGCCTGACATAGAAAACCCAGAAGCAAGCCGAATGTAAGTAAAATATCTGTAGTTACACATTTTCATTCATTCTATTTCCATTCCTCCATTCAGAAACACCAATTTCAGGACATGGTTGCTCACCGAAGACCTAATACAGTGAACCTCAGGTGTTATGTCTGGTTTTTGTGATGTTAAAAATGAGACCAGACACCTCTGCAACATGATGCTGCCACCACCTTACTTCACAGTTGGGACTGTGTTTTGAGACTTGAAAGCTTCACCCTTTTTCCTCTGGATGTAAGGAAGGACATTAAGACCAAACACTTCAGTTATAGTTTTATCAGACACTGGGACATGTCTCCAAAAATTAATTAAACTGTCCTTTTGGTTTTGGGTCAGAACTTGATGGTTTGGTATAATCTGTAGAAATGTTACTGATGGGCTTTAGGCATCCTATCTGACCATTTTTGGTCTGGTCTTGTTTTAACAGTTACAGTAGGGTAAATATTTGATACACCACCGATTTTTCAAGTTTTTCCCTCATCCAAAGAATGAATAAGTCTGTAAAATTCATCATAGGGACACCTGAACTGTGAGACAAAATAAAAAAAAATTCCAGACAATCCCATTGTATGATTTTTAATTATTAATTAGCATGTTATTGTCTGAAATTAGTACTTGATCTCCTAGCAACCAGCAAGAATTCATTCTCTCACAGACCTGTTAGTTCATCTTTACAAAGCCCTTCTGTCCTCTGCTCATTACTTGTATAAGTACACCAGTGTGAACTGGTTAACTGTATTAAAAACAACAGTCTTTAATACAGACAACCTAATTTTTAAACATGGTAAGAATTCACTTTAAAGCTGAGCTTTAAGTTTTGAAACAAAACACCATGCAAATATTTTCACTGATATGTTGTGTACCCAGGGGTGCCGCCAGGAATCTTGGGCCCCCTGACAAAAAATTAGATTGGGTCCCCCCTGCGCAGCTGCTGTTACAATTTTTTGAGTCTATGTGACCCAT